TCTACAACGGTCAACGACGGTCGACGATGGTCGGCAGCGGTCGGCGGTCGTCGGCAGGGATCGGAGGAGGTTGACTGTGGTCGACAACGGTCGAGATGGTGTTGGATTTCAGCTCTTTCTCAAAGCTTCAAGTTATCTCTCGAAAGCTCAGGTCTTCCGCCATGTGAGGGGTAAGGGTCTATTTATAGTGTTCTGGTTGCAATTAATGCATCAATATAAACCATTTTATTCGGGCGGTCCAAGGGACTTCCTTCAATCAGACGAAGTTTGATGGACGTTTGAGTGTCTTAACGATATCGGAAATAAGCAATCTTGGGCTCTAGATTCGTCTTGTCAAGACGTTTGATTCGGCTATGAACTTGTCAGATTTGACATCCGTTTGATATTTGAAATGTATCTGAAAATCTTTCAAGTGTGATTTAATGACCTGATCTGGGTTTGATTTTGACTCGAATTAGACTAGCTTTTATATTATTGGGTTCATCTCATCGGGTCAGTCAGTTTGACTATAAGTTTGCTGAAATTGAAGCTCTGGATAACTCTTAATTAAATTTTGAATGTTTCTTGCTCCAAAGATTGCCTTAAAATTCGTGTCATGCATTGAGATTCATACCATATCCTGAACATTTGTTGGTGGCGTATCAGTTGCCCTCATATTTTCGAACGAGACCATTTTTTGTCGTTCGAAAATATCAAGATCTGAAGATTTTTTTTTAATCTTTATACTATATATATTTTTTGTGCAATTTTCTCACAATTTTTTAATTATTCTGATAAGCTTTTATTTCTTTTGACAATTTTCTTATTGGTTTGATTTCCTAAATGCTTCGATAACCCTTTTGCAATACATGCATTAAGAGATAAGTGTGTGCATAGCATACCTTTTGCACAGATCAGATAGTGGCCGGAGTTCGAAGATGGCGGTAAAAGTGAGTCGGCAGAATTGGGATCAAAATCGTTGAAATACAGGAAGCGGAAGCGCGACAATTCTTTTTAATTTCTTTATTTTTTTTAAAATAATGCACATTTAATGGTTGCACTCCTTTTTAGAGTTTATATAATAATGAGCATTTAATGATTGCATCCATTTTTTGAGCCTATAAATAGGCCTGAAAGAGAGGGAAGAGGTGGAGTCCTAAGCTAGGGTTATAAAAACGGCTTGTTGTTCGCGAAGAGCTCTTGTTTGGCTCGATTAGCAAGCGATCCAAACATAAACAAATTTTTTGAGCTCGATCTATAAATGAGCCGAATACAAAAAATTTGTTTGTGCTCGTGTTCAGCTTGTTTATATTTCGAACACAAAAAAATTGTTTGTGTTCTGCTCGTTTGCTTACCAAGCCGAATGCAAGCTGTTCACGAACAAAAAATTCCATTTTGACAACCCTAATCGTACATGTAGTTGTAAACGAAAACGAGCCGAGCTTGAGCGAGTCCAAACTCAACTTGTTAAAAAAATATCATTTTTCGTGTTCAACACGTTTATAGATCAAGCTCAAAAAATTTGTTCGTTTGGGTTGCTTGCTAATAGAATCGAACACGAGCTATTCACGAACAATGAGCTATTTTAACAGCCCTAATCACACAATCGTATGATGTTAAGGGTAGGGCAAGATTTAAATTTTGTTATCTATATTAAAATATTCATTTAAATATAATTTAAAATATTTTTATTCTATTTTTTATTAATAATTTTAATTGATTATAAATTTTTAAGTGTTGTAGTCAATTAAATTTATTAAAAATAGTACTCATTATATATATGTATGTATGTATGTACGTACGTACATATATGTATGTATGTATGTATGTACATATATAGTATGTATGTACATATATATATAATTATATCGAGTCAAAATAAGCCGAAAATGAACAAACAAAACTTTGTTCTTGCTCGGCTTTTTAATACATCGAGTGCAAAAAAATTGTTCATATTTGGCTCATTTGCTAAGTGAACAAATCGAGCACGAGCTACATAAAGAACCGAACACAAGCTCTTTGCGAACGAGCCGTTTTGACAGCCCAAGTTGAGGACTCCATCTCTACCCTCTCCTTCAGACCTATTTATAGGCTCAAAAATGAATGCAATCATTAAATATTCATTAATATATAGACTCCAAAAAGAAGTACAACCAGTAAATACACATTACTTTAAAAAAAAATAAATAAATAATTGTCGCGCTTCCGCTTCCCGTAGATCAGCGATTCCGCCGACCCACCATTTCCGAACTCCGCCCCGCCATCGAATCTGTGCAAAAGGTATATTATGTGTACATTTATCACTTAATGCATGCAATTAAAAGAATTATCGAAGCATTTAAGAAATCAAACCAATAAAAAGATTGTCAAAAGAAATAAAAGCTTATCAAAACATTTAAAAAATTTAAAAAATTATCAGAACATTGCACAAAAAAAATAATATAAAGTATAGACATTTTGGACTACAAAAAAGGTCTCATCCGAAAATATGGCGGCAACCGATACGCCATCAACAAATGTTTATGATCTGGCACAAATATCAAGGCATGACACAAATCTAGAGGTAATCTTTTGAGCAAGAAACATTCAAACTTCGATTGAGAGTAATCCAGAGCTCCGATTTCAACAAACTTATAATTAAATTGACTGTTATAATTAAATTGACTGGCTCGATGAGAATGATATAAAAACTAATCCAATCCGAGTCAAATCAAGCCCAAATCAGGTCATTAAACCACGCTTGGAAGATTTTCGGATACATTTGGAAGGTCAAACGGATGTCAAATCTGGCAAGTTCATAGTCGAATCGAACGTCTCGACAAGACGAATCCAACGAGTCAAAGATTGCTCAATTCCGACATTATTAAGACACTCAAATGTCCATCAAATACCGTCTAATCAAAGGAAACACTTTGAACTGTCCAATCAAAATGGTTCATATACATGTAATAATTGCACCCAGAACACTATAAATAAACCCCTGAGAGAGACCTTGAAACTTTGAGAATGAGCTGAAGTCCATCACCATCTCGACCATCATCGACCACCACCATCGTCGACCACCGTTGACCTATGTCGACCACCGTCGACCGTCGCCGACCTTCGCTGACTATCGTCGATAACATTCGATCGTTGTTGACCATTGTGGACACCCGTCAACTGTTGTCGACCGCCATTGACAATCGGTGATCGTCGTCGTGCACCATTAAGACATCGTTAGTCAACATTATAACTTTGAAAAATCGAATAACACTTTCCCGTTTGAGGAACAAGACATTTTTGTAATCATCAATCAATAGTTTTATAACTAAGTCAAACCAAGTGATTTTTTCCCTTTATGAGTTTTCCAAGTAAAAATTTCTGGTGTCATCACTGTTTGTTTTTATTTCATCTGAGTGTGTGTTGAATTCTCGTGCAATGCTAAGACGATAATTCGTTACTCTACCGCCGTGAATTTTTTAACACCATCAATAATAACAATTGCAAGTCCCTTAACCAGGTCTAAAACATTATTTAAGAAAGAATTAAACTTTAATTAGAAATAATAAAATAAGAAATAAAGACTCCCAATACCTTTGTCAGACAAAAAAGGTAAAATCTCCTGTTGAAGCTACAAACAAAACGATAAACTTGTGATTTTTCCCTAGAGGGATTGTGGAAGTACCCGATTCAACAGGAATGCAGAATACCGCCATCTCACGAGTCACGGGATACCCGATCTCATGATTCAACGGGAGCTCTCGCATCTCCTTGGGTATCATAAATGGATATGGTCCAAACAGGTTAAGGTCGAGTTAGCACCAGCATGAATTCAAGTATAATATATGGACTACGGTCCGTTTTTTAACTTAGAGACCTATTATCACTTGAATAAAGAATCAGATGAATCTATTCCATGCATAAGATCAACCAAATCAGCAACAACCTAATTATCAACCAACTTAAAGATGGCAGCACCAACCAAAATACTAGTTTATGACCCCATTCAATTCATCAATAGATTACGTGGTCAAGTGACCCTTTACTTTTGAAATATGGATTAAAAAGATATTTCTACAAACACAATATTAGCTAGAAAATCTCAAATTTGTATTTTTTTACCCATCTGCTTTTTAAAATTTTTTATATAAAGAAAACAATGATAACTTACTTGAGAAATAGAGATACTCCACCTCAGCACATTAGCATTAAATAAATTATTAACCACTAAACTACATCTAATAACTGCTGGCCAATCAATTTCAAAATGAAAAGGAAGAAAAGTATCAAAATGATCCCTGGAGTTTTTACAGGTCAACATAGTCCCAGACTATCGAGTATATCCAATTTAGCTCATTGACTCCTAAAAATCTGATCGAAAACAATCGATTGACTCGAATCCTGAAATCTGATCCAAAATAATTTTTGGATCATATTGGAGGAGTGAAGGGAGTAAACTGAACAAACTAAATAGCTGGGACGAAAATTACAACATATAAATAGTCCAGTACTCATAATGACCCTAATTTCTAGGGAAAAAAAACGAGGGCCTTTCTTAAAAAGGACTCAGAAATTGCTACCAGAATAGATACATAATATCGAGAAGATCATGCCAAACCTAGAAAAAAAAAACAGCACATTCTATTTCCATGAAGTGTCATGACAGATAGTATGAATTTCTAGCATATTTTGCCCAAAAAATTATAATTTTTTAAATCTACATAATCAACAAAAAAAAAAGCATTAGCAAGATTGAGCAGACACTTCATAGTGAATAAAAAGGTGCAATTTTAACCCTACTCTCATAGACACAACCCTAAGACATCAAACCTTGGAAAATAAATAAATAAATTTTCAGTTCTAATAGAGAGTGGTCAGCGGAGCAATGGCTTATGACGCATCAAGTAATTTTTAGCATTCTTTAGTATTCTTGGGATCCAAAAACATCATATCCATCACGCTTAGTGAGCATAAGAAGATCAGCATTGGTAAATAAAAGAATTATTCTAAATGGTAAAATCAAATTGATATGGAAAAATTACCCCAATTAGAGTCGAGACAAGAAGAATAATGGCAGTTATCCATGCTAAACTCCGTCTAACTAATAACACCCGTTTGAACTCTGCACTTGTATCATTATTGAAGCTCGTTTCATCCAGCCATCGTGCCAACTGAGGAAACTGTGTAACTTCCAACAAATTTTCGGTACTTGGATTGGCATCCTTGTTAGACAACACAACACAGGCAATCCTTCCTGCCACAGTAGAATTTGTTAATTTAGTAAGAATTACATACATACCATTTAATTCCTACAGATCAACATTTCTAAAAGGTTAAAACGGTGATATTTTTTATGTGATATGAAAGATTTGGGCGGTATTAATGTAATATATAAGTTTAGCTGTTAGACGTGTATAGAAATGGGAATTGGGTGGTATATGTAAATGCCCCCCAAAAAAAAACCATAAAAAGTTGTTATTAACAGCCATATATATACTTCACTAAATGAATAGAGAATCAAATGAAGAAAATGAAAGTAGAACGCCATAGAAAACCTTAACAGAAAATCGTCCTGAGAAATTGTATTCAAGCACAGAAAGTTGGCCAAAGTCTAGGTAGGGTAGAGGGTCTAGAATTCTAGAGCTGAGGACGTCAAATAAACAATATAGTTTACGATTGAACAAATACTTCAAAGAAAATATACTGAAACAGTCTTCAAGCTGATTACAAAAAGCAGGAACCGTAGAGAAAACAAGACAGATTTTATGATTTTGATTAGAATTTAAAAAATATATATATTCCTAAATATTGGCAAAAGACCAATATTGATATTAGATCTAATTTAATCAACTATAACAAAAATTAGAGGCCAACATTAGATAATGTTAAAATAGCCAAATATCCTTTATGAGCACAACCTAGTCACCATCATAATCACAAGATTAAGCTATTAAAGTCCTTTTGCACCATCCTTTCTTCCTTAATAAAGTATTTGATTCTAGTTACAAATTCATTCAAAAAATTGTAACCATGTTAGCTCAGACCTAAAACTTCTCTTTCACAACCTTACAAAAATCCTTGCCACATCCTCATTTGTAATGTGTTTTCATTAAGAAAAATTTCCTCAAATTTTCAGGAGAGTAAAAATTGATTGTACATTGATAAGCAAACTTGGAGGTAGAGAAAGAAAGTACAAATAGCTATTAGTAATAAAAAAACGTTTATTTTAAAAAATAACAAAAAAATTTAATGCTAACAAGTCCTATAAAAATTATAAGAAAGCTCAACAAAATTTCGTGGAACAAAGAAGTGAAGTGAAGTGATGTAGAAAGTACAAAAAAGTTTTCAAGGTTAAAAAATAACTTTTTAAGAGTAACAAAATTGACATATAACATGCTTAGGGTGGCGCTTGAGATCACTTTCTGTTTTTTATTTTTTATATTTGTTTTAGCATAAAACGAAAATATGTTTGGCACTCTTATGATTTATTTGTTTTTAAGAGTAAAAATAAAAAATATGTTTGGTACTTTTAAATGAATTTTTTATTTTTTCAGATAAAAAAATGGAAAACATGCTTGCTTTTAACATTTTGTTAAAAAAATTAATATGCATGTAAATTTTTTTAAAATTAATTTAGGCCATTAGCAATTTAAATAATATGATTAGTATATCTATGTATCATAATATTGAATTGTCTAAAAATATGGGCCATATTTTGAAAGACATATTACTAAAAATATTTTTTTTCATCATTTTTAAAAAGTTATAATTAAATTGCTCTTTAATAAAACATTTAAAATAATCTTGCATATCATTTCAAAACATATAGCCAATATATTGAAATATTTAAATAAAATATTACAAGCATATAATAAATTAGAAATAAATATACAGCATTTCAGAAAAAAGATGAGTGTTTCATACAATCAATATAATAACAATTTAGCATTGCATGTTTATAAATGCATGAAAACATCTCAACCTCCAAATAAATAATAAAAATAGTTAATGCCGAAACTTAATTTGTTTGTGACTTCAAAGTTTCTCTTGCAACACGATCATGAAAGATAGTCATATACTCCAATTGAGATTGAATATTAACATCAATGACATTGTATGATATATATATTAATATATATTTTCTTCTATCAATTATAAAATTCTTATTTTCATATATCTCAAATAATCTATATCATATGGATTGTGATTTTATAAAACTATATAGTTTACAACAGATAGTTACAATATATCGTTGTGTATCGTTGTGTGCATAAATCATAAAAAGACATTCTACTAATAATTTAAAATCTTATTTTCAGAATTCTAAAATACTGTTCCATAATATTTATTAAAAAATAATACATAAACTTATAGAGTTTTTCTTGTCTATGAAGTCGAGTGCCCTCGTGACAATCACACAGATGAAATATTAATTATCTATATGGTAATAAAAAATTTGAAATATTAACATATCATGAATCAACCAAATGATATTTCCCTCTTTCAACAAAAATATTAGTTACTAAATAAATTATCATTTAATAACTTAAAAACTACTTACCAAAAATAAAATTAACATACCTTATTACATAGAAAACTTTATTTGGGATTTAACACATTCTAAAACTATCTTAATATCGTTTGTTGTTCCCTAAATAAAGTTACATCAAATCTACATGCACACATTATACTTTAAGTTAGCTCATTATATTATTTTCATATAGTTGTTCTTCTAGTGGGATAAAGGTTTGTTGTTGTTGTTGTTGTTGTTGTTGTTGCTATTGTCATAGAAGTTCTTTTTGTACATGTGTAGTCATTGGCCCATCAATTGTACCAACACAGTTATATTCAAGTAACTTAAGATTAAATAATCATACTTCAAATAAATATATAGATAAAATATTAAACTTTAAAATGCCTTAAAAAGGATAATACTTTAATTTTTTTTTTATTTCTAGAACAATAATCTCAAATTATGAAGGAAAAATTATCTTAATTTTTAAATAACAACTTGTCCTATATATATATTTTTTAAAATCTTGGGATTGCCTCTAATAAATGTTGAAATCATTCAGCTACTATTCTTAAGTGTTTTTTTTTTATAAAATTAACATTACTTTTCTGATTTTTTTTATCAACACTCAGCCATTTTGAATCTTTCATAAGATTAGTATTCATCATCATAGTACATAAACTAAGAAAAACTTGAGGTTTTATTTTATAAATTTAAAAAAACTATATTATCTTCTCGATGTTATGAAAATTATAAAATTGAACTTTAAGTTTTTAAAATTTATGTATTATAATGAATAGTAAAGATTTTATGAATGATTTAAAATGACTGGTTGTTGAAGAACAGCTTGTAATATCACAAAATGAGGGTTTAAGAGTATTAGATGAAAGATTTCAATATTAATTGGATACAATCTCACGTCATTTTAAGGAAACTTTAAAAACAATTTATCACTTAGAAATTGAAATAATTGTTCTTCCAACATATGAGATTATTCCTCTAGAGATCAAATATAATTCAAAGTATTATCATTTTTTAAGATATGTTAAAGTTTAATAAATATTGTTTCTTAAATACTATTATTGACTCATAAGTTAAATGTCCAGAATTATATTGGTGCAGTCGATGAAACAAATGTGGCTCCATATGTACGTAAAACATAACATATTCTATATCTATAAAAAGCCAACTCTAAATATAATGTGTACACATTAATTTGATATATTGTTTATTTACATATTATCTCATTGAAAGGAAACAAAAAATAATGCTAAAATATTTTTAGAATGTATATCCAATTCTAAATTAAATTTTTATATATGACCACAAGATATGTTAATTTTATTTTTAGTAAGTAATTTTTTTAAATTCTTGAATAAATTTTTTTTTAATAGGTAATACTTTTTTTTAAAATAAAAAATATTACCTGATTTATTCAGTATGTATAAACTCATAAGGTTTCTTGTCAACATATGAAGAACTAAGGTATCATCTGCGTGAGGACACTCAATCTCAAAAGCCAAATCTCTTCAATTAAATGCATTTTTTTAAAAAAAAATTTGAGTGTGATTTTAAATTTCTAAAAGCAAGATTTTTAGTTCTTAATAAAATATCTACTTATGATTTATGTACACAATGATATATTATAATTGTTTGTTGTACACTAGTGGTGTCAAAAATTGACCCAACATGCCAACTCAACCCAAACTTGAATAAATAAATATGAGTTCGAGTTGACAAGAATAATTTTCAGATCGAGCTTGGGTTAAAGAGCCTAAACCTTTAAATTTTTTGGGTAGGGTACAAGTTGACCCGCCAACTCTAAAATCACCCAAAATTGGCCCTCCAACCTTAAATTGACTTGAATCAACTCGCCAACACAAAATTTACCTGAAATTGACCCAATTTTAACCCAAATAATGGATTTCCTTATTATACAGGTCGTGTTCGGTTTGGTGAGTTGAAGGCAAGTAAATTTGGGTTGAGACTTTCAATTAGTATAATATTCAAGTCGAGTTCGAGTCAGACTTATTCGAGTCGGGTCTGATTAGAACCCGACCGCTTACCTGAATTGACACCCATATTGAAAATTATATAATTTTATAAGATCACAATTTATAGGAGATAGATTATATGAAACGTATGAAAATAATTGATAGACTAAAAAAATGGATGTTACTTGATCTCAACTGTAGCACATGGCTCTCTTTAGTGATCATAATATAAGAAAATTATAGAATTACGCTGATAATTGAGTTTACCCATTAGTTATTATTTATTATTTATTTAAAAATTGAAAATTTTCAAATATTTGTAATAATGTAATGTTTGATTGATATTAAATTGGTTGTATAAAATACTCATTTTTTAAAAGATATTATATCTTTATTTTCTAATTTTTATACGCTTGTAATCATTTTTGCTTATATATTTAAAATTATTGTCATATTTTTTAAAATGGTATACAAACTTAACTTGATTTATTCAAGAGCGATTGAATTATAACTTTTTAAAAGTAAAGAAAAAAATTATACTTAGAAACTTATATCTTTAAGAAATTCAATATTATGATATATAAACATATTATTTAAATATCTAATAACCCCAAAAAATTTAAGAAAATTTACAAGCATATTAAAAATTTTGAACAAATGTTAAATCAAACATTTTTTAATACAAAAAATTCATATAAATATCAAACATTTTTTTTTATTTTTTATTTTTTATTTAAAAAATCATAAGAGTACTCAACATATCTTTTTAAATATTAGAAAAACAAAAAAAAACAAACTAAAAGAAAAAAAAATGATCTTAAACACCCTTTAGTATTCATGAACGAGAAGAGAAATCCAAAATAGCTAAAATAAAGATGAAAAATCGAGACTTCATTTAAGTTACAAGCATTAAAATCAAACATAATAAAATCTTACTTAAAGATGAAGAAATCAAAGATAAAATCTTTAAAGGAGAGCTTTTGAGAAAAAAATTTATTCACACGTGCATCCTTATAATATAAGCTAAATTGTATATTAAAAAATTTTAAATTGAGTTAACTCTAAAAAAGATGCATAAAAAAAGCTTTGGATACAAATAAGATTGCTACTAATATTTGAAAAGTTATGGGGATACAACAATGATTTCGTTAGAATATCTTTATAATGAAATTTTAAAGAATAAGTGGATGTAAGGTAATCGAAGAAGCAATTTGGTACCAAATTTAAGAATAAAATAGATAATAAAGATTGTGCTACATATAGTGGAATCAAACTTGTAAAGCTACGATAGAGAGGAATGTATCATAAGCTTATGAAAATATCATCAATTCCAAGCAGTTATTAGTCTTCTCTTAAAAAGATTTATTACATAGGTAATTTGTTGTATTAAGACTATTAATTTAAAAACTATTAAGCAAAAAAAAATCTCCATATGAGAAGGCATGTAATCAATACAACGAGAATTGATTTGATGTGCATAAAATAAAATATGTCAAAGCTATGTCGTGGCTATAAACAATGTAATATGGAACATTTACTAGTGTTAATAAATATAAAGTGACAAAAAAAAATTTAAATACTGTAAGATTATATTAATGATCAATTTAGAGCCCATATTTTTTGCATTAATGAAGAAGATCCATACAAAGCATATTCAAAACAGTAGCTTGATGCATGCGCCTTCGGCATATAATAGTATTTATTAATGATGGAACTATAAATGAGTGAAAATTTAAAACAACAAAAAAAAATGCTCAGGGGATTAAAGAGTTAGAATTAATCGAACAAAAATTGATATATAATTTTAGTGTCATGAAGTTAATAATTATTAAGCAACATCATTAGAAGACAAAGTAATACCTAAGTGTTACATGTATCATGAATTTATTATACAAAAAAATAAAGATATTGATAAGGATACAGCTTCTTTAAGGAAAGGTGGTTAAAATAAATGTCTGATAAATATTATGTGAAAAAAGGATATTATGGAGACAAAATGCTAAGTTTTACAATGCAACACTTAGACCAACAACATTATATGGATTCAGATGTTAGGAAATAAAAACTCATTGATATCAAAGCTGAGCAAAACAGATATGAACGAAGAAAAACTATGAATGATAAGATAAAAAAAAGTTTGATTATAGCATAGAATAATTTGGCAGCAACTCTTGAAAATACGGTAACTAAAAATAAAAGAAATAGTTTAGACATGTTCAACAAATGGTAGAAAATGTACCTAATATATGGTTAATAAAATTAGTATCAAATGATTATAAAATTAAAGTGGCAAATTCTAAGTAATATAAACAGAAGTTGTTCAAAATCATTTTCAAAGAATCATTTTAACATCTCTAGCAACATTTAGTCTAGACTAGTTGAGTTTGCACAAACATTTGTATAGCATATGCATGATTTGCATCAAAAAAACAAAATGGTACTTATGATATAAGTCTACCGCTGAAGTAAGCATGAGATATGTGAAATTCTAACTAGATGATATGACATGATATGCCTAAATTTTGAAAGATTTCCTACAAAATTCTTTAATAAATTAATTGCCAATACCATATAAAATCATACAATGCATTGGGTCAAACACTTAAAAACTAGTAATTTCAGAAAGTACTGATAGTAGTCAAAGTATTGACTAATATGTCATAAACTTGTTATCAACACATTGAATTCTTCTCGAATTCACATTTAAAATTTTACCAAACAAATTTGCCCAACATATTCCAGAAGCCATTCTAAATAATGAGATTGTGTTCACTATTATGGTGAATATCAGGGATATTCTATGCATTGATGTGATAGAGCTGCTTATAATAAAACAGATTACCTTTTAAGAAGCACAAAAACTATACCAAGATTGACTGAATGGATGTCCAATGCTCAATATGTCTATTTTTCTTAAGTCATGCAGATTTATGGAAATTTGAAATTTTATATACATAAGCAAAAGATGTGGCAATAAGGCAAGCATAATGACATTGTGTGATTTGATGTTGTTATTGTTGTCAATAGTCAATTTTATGTAACATTCCTTCAATGAAAATGCCTATGAGATTAAGACGTCCTCTAAATGTTTCAATTATCCTGATGAGTTTGGTTAATTACAGCAAGTTATTTTGAATCAGTTCTCGCAAAATTTCCCAGTTCGGTGCCTTTGATTCCCTTTTTAAGCAAATGTTAAGTTTTTTATTTGGTCGAACCTTTGCTTTGGAAAGACTTCAAGAAAATTGTCTAACGTAGATTGCTATTAGATTGGCATGAAAAGAAAGCAACATTGTTCAATAAATTTGTTGCTTTACTGTTTGCCCGTGGAATTGCAATTTCCTGGACTCCCTATTCTCTGACTTCCTCAATTCCCAAATTTGCTCGTTTACTACCATAGACGGATCAGCTAGGTACTAAAGAAAGTGTCACTATGCTCAAATCCTCTTTTGTCAATGCAACGGGATCCTCCACTCGACTGCCTGAAGTTTTCAATAAATGTGAGTTGGCCTTCTAAATGATTTTTTTTCAAAAACAGGGAAAACGTGTTGTTTTTTTTCTCAAGTTGAATCAAAAGAATTAGTATTTCAGCTATAATTTGGACATTTTGAATCAAAATTTGTAGTATTTTACTACATCTTGGAGGATCTAAAAAGCTATCTACTTAGTATTTTCTATCATAAATAAGACCTCTAATGCATGTAATTTAAATTCAATGGTTTAATAAAATTCCAATTTTTTTCTCATACTTGTGTGAGCAGATTGGATGTAAACTCTTTGATGCAATTCTTGAAAATTACTTCTGAGGGTTTCTCCTAGTACTGATATGAAACCTAAAATTTTTTTAGCGACTTCTATCAAAAGATCTTTTCATCTAATACTCTAATGAAAATTTTCTGAGTGATAGAAATTTTATCAAATTTGCTAACTTCTAATTATCTTTTTGCAGTGTAAATCCTAAATTGCTATATGGTTTGTATTTGTCGTCGAAATTCTTACAACATTTCGAATTCTGATAACTTCTAAATTACTGTTTGAAGCAAATTAAATTTGTTTACAAGCTTTGAATCAAAAGAAACTAAGCTTTGCCTGAACTAGTTTAGGGTTTGGGTTCAGTAAACTGTGAATTGCGATTTTTAGTATGTTTGTTTGTGCATCCCTACATCTGCATTAGTGAACATTAAAACCTTACACAACCTACATAAATATTTTTAAGGAACCGGAATTTAAGATAAAAAGAACATGACATGGTTAGAAAAATAATGGAATTTATATAGAAGGCCTCAACATAGTTTATATTTACCAAATTTATACTTGTAGTGGATTCACAAATCATATCATAGACATAATAAAAGACTGATTACTCATTATATAAAACATATACACCTTGACTATCCATCAAAATAAAAAAAAAGGCAAAAAGAGAAAAAATGCAATTCATTCCTGCAACCAGAGTATAGCGATAATTAAATAAATTAAAGAAAGCACTGAGACTGAGGTAACCAACCACTAGAAAATTCCTGCAAGGTGTTAAATAACTTCATTATGGAGTCCTTCACCAATTGTTCTCCAAGTTTAAGAATATCCCCCTCACCATATTCCACTTTCAGAGCCTGACAGATTTAAAAACTCTGTAAATCATTTAGCAGAGAACCATAATGATGACTCTGAACCAGAATACACACATACAATAAATGAAATTTGTACACAAACCTAATAAGATTCAATGACAGTATAAATAAGTTGAAAGAATTTTCAAATAGTGACTATAAAAGTAAAACATAAAGACATGCAACTTCAGAAATAGTAAGCAATATTACCAACGCTTAATGAATTCGACTTTTAGTATGGCCTGACAGAAAATTTTCATCCCAGTTAGGAGAAAGAAATAAAATGACATGACTTTTATTACATGACCAAAAAGTTAAAACATTTATTAATTCATCTGAAATTTGATATCTCCTATTCTATTTGTACGGAGCAAGGGTACAAATGCAAAGTTTTCATATTGATGTTCAAATGACAATACTGCAGCTGATATAACTAGATAGAGCCTTTTCAGTGGCTATGTTGTTTACATTATTCCCATATTCAATATAAATTCAATAACACTTCGTGTAAACCAAGGATAGAAAAATATAAAACATAAAAAATCAACGCTAGATGTAAGAGTTGAAAGCTATGTTCCGGTTGTTTATTTAGCATAACATTACATTTTATTTTAATTTTTATATGCCATGAATTGCAAGTTATTCTCTACTAAGTAATTAACGTGGTGAAACTTAAGTTTTCATTCCATAATATTCTATATCTTCCAGTACAAAAGTCAAAGCCAATATTCATTAAGCATTGGGCTGTTATGCGCTCATTCCCAGGTTATCCGTGGAAGGAAAGGCATTTGCATTCCAAATCAACTAAGGATATTTGGACTTATTTTCCAGTTTAGTAAATTGCATCACTGATTCTTTCAGAGTTAAAACTTTTCAATGACGGAAACAAGTCTACATAGATAATAACAATAGCCACGTGATCATCGAATATCAAGCCCCGTACGAAATTTTTGATGTAATTGCAGAGGAAGATTCAAGTACACCGTGTTCATTTTACAAATCACAAAAGCATACCACCATGCATGACCAGACATATAGCCAAAATTCTGAAGCAGATTGAGCTGGGTATAGGTGGCATGCCCTCAAGCTCAACTCTTTGTCAGCCTAGTGCAGAAGTCTTTCAAAATAACTTGTGACATGCAATCACGAATTACTTTAAGGCTACTTAAGAAAGAGAAAGTAAGAAATTTGCAAAACAAAATATTTGTAATATCTTTGCAAAATAAAGGTTTTCCAATTTAGGCATTTCTTACTATCTCAAATTCTAGTTTGAAGAGAAAAATAGAAATGTAATGCTTTGTTATGGGGGGTGTGCATGTGGGTAAGTGGGTGGGTGCTTTGAGGGTCAAATTTCAGAAAGCTAATGGAATAGTAGATATACGACACTATCTAGATATTTCACCCTCACTTTGCGATGACTTTTGTAACTGAAGTTCGAGGTTTCCAATAGAAGCAAACCCATACAACTACCCCTTCAGATAACGAGAGAGCACTTTCCATTAAGGCTAGTCATTGAAAACTCAATACTTAATACACAGCAGTAGCAGACTTACAGTTTAAGTTGTAAAATTTATCACCTAAAGCTTAAAACGAATGGAGGGAAAAATGATGAATCGATTAAGATCCCACGGTTTCGTCGTCTCGAGTCATCGTGGTCCCTGATCTTCTTAGTCAGAGGAGGTAGTCGACCTAACCTGACTGAATGATTCTTGTCAGCAACCATTAGTTATGTCATCGAAGAGATCTTTATAGGTCATGGGTCAATGTTTGTCTAAAGAGACAAATTTAAGTCGACATTAGCTAACATAAGACTTTATGTCAATCAATTGTACCATTATGATTAACAATTTAAAGAGTAGATGGGCGTTGAAAATACGGATTGTAGCCATAATCGTGACATAATAGTGTCAATTGGTGACAGCCACCTAGTCAAAGAATTCTGCTCATAAACACTATTCTGTGGTGTCATTTGGTAGCAAAATCGTGTGAACATAAAACTTGTGTCATCCTTACTGACATGCAATTACTTTATTTGTGAATATATTGATACCCTTGATGTGGCATTCACTTTTTGTGAGCTGAAGTTGATCAAAATTGTAACCCTCGACAAACTATTGTTGAGGGTGAATAGAGTTTGCTTTAAGCTTTAAAGTGATTAATTGAGTGTTTGATTTGAAAAACTTAGTTTGAATTATGGTTTGAAATTAACCCATCTGGTTGAGATTTACACTCAATGCAACCTTCATCGAGAACTTGATATTTAAAATTTTCATGCTTAAGATTCATTTGAAATATATCAATTTTGATATCTTTTTTATATTAAGTCTTGTCGACTCCGGTCCTAATAAGGAGAAAGATCAACTTAGGTGATTTGGCTTTATAAATTTTATATATGTGCTTTGAAAATAATTTCAAAATTATTAAACTCGTCAACTCCAGTCCTTAACAAAAGAATAATCAAACTAGGTGGGTGGGACTTACAGCATTATCCTATAGATAAAGCAACCCGGTTGGTTTATTTTCAAAATATAAACTATTTGCGTACAAATTTGATCTTAACCTGCACAACATTCCTAAGCTATTCGTCAAAATATTTTGAATTTTAAGTATAGCCCATGCATGTATATTTTGTTAATGAGCGTACATCTAGATGCCTTTGCTTAATGTGAGTGCATGAATTTTGGCACACTTATAAGATGTGATTACATAATTTATTTCCTTGTAACATGTAATTTGAGATTTTAATACAAATATAAAGTTTATAAAGAAATTACAAATATTTTGAGATAATATATTAAAGTGAAAATATATCTTAAAATAAGATTATATGTCTAAAAGATTAATTAACTTGTTAGTCACACAAATATCTTTATTGCATAGATGTATGTACATAGTCTAAATGCACAATTGGTAGCTGGAATTTTACAAATCTTAAGATATCCACTTTCAAATAAAAATACTATCTCAACACTTATCATGAAATTACACAAACCTTTTTGAAATATTATGCGGACATTAGAGCTTTTGGAATAGATGTAAAACCTCCTTTTTTTACTCATTAAGGAACGTCTTCTATTCATTAGCAGGTGTATTGCAAATTCAGTGATGAACATGAGATTTCAAAATTCCCCAAATTTTAAATATTTTTCAACCCTATATGTCTAAATCTAAAAGCCAATTTTCTTAAAAAATATTTTTAAGTCCTAGGAGCCAAAATTTAAAAAACCCAAACTTTAAATATTTTTAAGTCTTAGGAGCCTCAAAGTTTAGAATTTTAAAAAATTTTAAGACCCTAGGAGCCTAAATTTCAAAGCCTAAAATTTTCAAATATTTTAAAATTAAAATGATCCACATTTAAAGTAATTTTATAAATTCAAAAATTTCAAAAATTTTAAATTGTTCACAAGTCTAAATCACCCGAAATTTTGACAACCTCAACGTTAATCCCCATTAGGGGGCACCGGGAGAATGTCGGCCTTCCCAAGTGTCTTAAAAGAATTACTGATCAACAACCACTGCGAGTATTTAACCTACGATCTTAAATGACAAAATAAACATTCAATGTCCCTGCAAAAAGGTTAAATCAAATGGTATTATTTTCCAGAGCGGAACATTATTTTCCTCGAAAGGAAATTATTCCCAAAAACGGATACTAGAGTTTCCCGTGATGGGTATTTTAAATTCTCTAATTTTATAAACATTTTCCAAACAAGTTTCTAATTTTCTCAAATAATACTTAATTCCTAAAGATAGGTACAAGAGTATTTAGCAAATGAACATTTTAAAAAAAATTGCCCTATTGGCCCATTTTCATACCTTTTTTAGCAAAGTGACTATATTGACAGCGACGATATATGGTGACGACTACGAACAATGAAATAAACAAATACAACACATTTTTTCTTATTTTTTTATACAATATAAAATATAAAATAGTAATATTAAGAAAATGCTAGGCTCAAGCTCAGGTAGGTGGTTTTGTGTCGGTCTGGTTCAGTGCCAAAAGCAAGTTGCAGCTAGGCCGGTGTTCGGGCTCAAATAAGAGGGAACGCGAGCACCTCGGTTACATATGATTTGGAAAGAGAACAGACAGGCTTTGCTTTGGGCTAAGGCAGAGTGGCTCGAGCAAGGTTTGGTAGGTTGAGGGGAAAAGAGGGTATCGGTCATTTGGATCATGTGTGAGGCGGAGCTTTTGACCGTAAGGTGCACTGTAAAGGAAATTTAAGAGAGGCACAAGACAGGCCACGATAGGCCATCGTGGCTTCAGTGAAGGAAGGTGAGGGTGATTTTTATGGTTTTTTATGAAAGGTGAGATGCGGCAAAAGGCCATGGCAGAGAAGTGAACAAGGAAGGGTCGGAGAGGCTGAGCGGCTGCGATTTCTAAATGCGGTGAAGTGCGGCAGAGATCAACAAAGAGGTGAACAGGTAAGGGAACATTGAAGAAGAAAAAGTAAGGGGTTTATGGCTTTGTGCAGCGAAGACAGATAAGAAATTGTGTGCTGGTTTCGTCCATGAGAGGCTTTCGCATAGGCTTTCACTCTACGGCTAGAGGGACAGAAAAAGATGAGGGTTATGATCTTGTTGTTGCTTTACTCACTAACTTCAGTCACAACCATCTCTCGAAGATTGCGGTCACAAAGAAAAAGATCGATAGAGTGGCAGGAGCGGCAAAGGAGGTGGAAGCGACGGAAAGGTAGAGCTTCTGAAGCTTTCAGGGTTCGTGAACGAGGAAGATAGAATAGGAAGATGAGAGAACCAAAGAGCGATTTTGTGAATGAAAGCCTTTATATGTGTTTGTAACTGAGAACCAGAGGCCGGGCGGGTGTGAGGCTGAACTGATGTGGACTTCAAGAGACGGAAAAAGATAAGTAGGAATTTAATTAACTTATTCTTTTATTAATTTCCGCTTTTATTTTCTCTATTTTTTTTATTTTACGGTCAATAATATACATACATACATACATATAGATATATATATATATATACATATATATATATATATACATATATATATATATATATATATATATATATTACACACACACATTTTGAATGTTAAATAAATTGGTTTGAAAAAAAGTGCATTGTTGGTATTACTCTAGATAAAAAAAATAAAGAATTATTAATACAACTTTAAAAAATGACTTACCCATTACAAAATCATCAAAAGAGAAATAAATTAGGTTAATACAGGCAAATTAGCCAATATCACAAGTAGAAAAAAAGTTTTAAATGATGTTTTTAAGCATATGTTTACCAAAGCATGCAACAATCATCAGACAATGAGCATGGAAGAGCAAGAAAGCTGCAAAGCTATAGATGGAAGGAAAGAAATATTACTCTGGTGTTCAGAGTGAAGCTAAAAGATTAAAGTGAATTGGGCTCACCTCAAGTCCTCTAAAATGCCCTATGAATAACTCTGCAGAATTTATACGGTTTTGAGCAAAATCATTTACTACAGTCCTCTTTGTATTTCCAACAAGCGATGCAAGACTAGCTGCAAACATTCGATCTGCTTCCTGTTCCAGAAGGCAGAATATTAACAGAGATCAAAACAAAAAAACAAAAAAAAAATTCTTGAATTGCAGATGATTCGAAGAGGTGGATGTCTGAAATTGAAATGCATGCAAATTATGGAAGAATCCAGAATATATCAAAATTGCATCGCATGACACCATCAGTTTCAAGAATAAAAGAAAAGGTCTCCAGAAAGAAAACAGCCATATAAGAAGACGGAATAATCTAAAAACCAAATTACGTGAGAATATTCATTAGAATCTAAAATCTTGATAAGTAGTTGCAGCAATTATTACGACGACTATGATATCCACATTTCTTGCACGGCAGAAGCTGAGAATAGCTTGTGTTTCATTATTTGGAGTGCTTTGTTTCACATGTCAAAATATTGAACTTCGACAGGAGTGTTCAAAAATATAAACATAATTTAAACATAAAATGGCACAATGTGTTCATGTTTAATTAACAGTCGGGATACCAGAACAAGGATCCATGATTTACATAGGCTAGTTTTCAAATCTAGCAAGAAGCAGCATGAACAAATACAGAATAGTACTAACAAAATCTCATAATTTATGCATTGTGAAGCTCTCCCTTGGTATCCATGGGACCAAAGTCATATGCCTCATAGATTCGATACAAAAGATTCAAAACAAAGGTTACCTGAACCTAAAATGACACGGGAGTTAACCCAAACTATAATGAAAATGGAAATATTATTGCCAAAATTTCAAATGTTGAAATGAAGACTCTTCAAAATAGGAAATAAACGACAACAAATACAAACAACACCCAAGGGCGATGGCGAATGAGATGGGAGCGGTTGGCCGGCAGGAAGATAAGGCAGGGGACAACAACGGGAAGGGAAGTAAGGGATGGCAGCAGAATTAGGCAGGCTGGAGATGAGGCTATGGCAGCAGTTTGGATCATGGGGAAGGAATTAAGGCAGCAGGTAAAGGAAGAAACCACCTCGGACAAGTTACAGCCAGAGTACCTTCTTGTCGTCGGATGCAATCCTAGAAGGGAAAAGAGAGACGTCAGGGGGGGCGAGGGAGGGGGGGTCGTATATGGGGAAGATGGTAGCAAGAAGGATAGACGAAGATACCACCTCCATAGCACATTCACGTCATTAGATATAACCCTATAAGAGAAAAGATGGACACAAGAGGCTGTCCAAATAAAAATCTCACAAAAACTAAACCCTAAAACAAAAAAGCAACATATTTATAATAAAATAGATAGGAGAATAGGGGGAAAGGGGGCATGGTACTTGCAAATAGCCAACCAACAGGTCTAGCCTCCCTGTTAGACCGACACCCTGATGAATCGGCTGGGTTAGCGGTCCCGAGTCAGTCTCCCACTATTGGGGAAACTTTGACCTCATTTGTCGAAGCTTTTATCTGCTCGTTATCAGTGATGGAGTTGTCATAAGAAGCATAGAGGAAGATACCACCTCGGACAAGTTACAGCTAGAGAGTCTTCTCGTCATCGGATATAGCCCTATAACGGAAAAGAGTGATGTTGGAAGTTGTCCAAACATAAATCTGACAAAAACTAAATCCTAAAATAATAAGCAACATATTTATAGTAAGATAAGTAGGAGAATGAGGTGAAAGAGGGAGTGGTTCCAGCCAACCAGTCCAGCCTCTCTGCTAGACTAGCACCCTGATGAATTGCTCAATTTATCATTTAAGCGTCGTGTCAATCTCCTGGGGTTGTGGGAGCTTCGAACTCATTCGTTGAAGCTTCAGTCTGCCTGTTGTCATTGATGAGTGATGGAGTTGTTGTCACTTCTCGGGATGAAGACTCCTCGACTATAGTCCAAAAAGCACCTAAATCCCATTGGCAACTAAACCGCCCCCCCACCCCCCAAAGCACCTGAGGATTTTCCTCCACTTGCGGGTCTACATCCACATTGATTTGCTTTCGTGGGAGTCCACTAAAAAACGAAGTTGTGTTAGTGTCTTGTATAGAATGTTGAGGGTAACCTGAGTAATCCTCCCAAAGTAATCCATATTCGGTTTAGCTTGAGCAGAATTGAGGGTAACCTGATCGTCCTCAAGCGGTGGTGGCCATGGTAGTGAGGTATCGATTGTGATATTATGAACTACTCTATGTCATAATTGTATTGTGTTTGAAGCTGGTGTCTCGGTCCTATCATCATCTATCGTAACCAAAACTGATTTCAACGATGTTGCTCTGTTGGCAAAGGCTTGTGTGATCTCTGGCTCCACTGAAGAAAGAAGGATGTTGCGCTTCCCCTCCTTGATAAAGGAGTAGATGTTTCTGAATCTGTCATGCTTAATCACGCGATTAAATTGTCATTCTCCCCAACAAAATGTGTCAGGCATCTATGGGGACCACATTGCACCACACCTGATCTTACAGCTGGCTTCCAATTAAGAACTTCACTAGGCTCCTCCAGTCAATGTTGATCGTGTTCTGCTTCTTCAGCCATGTCAGGAAATACGATTGAAAATGTATTTGAGTCATGAGGCTCAATTTCTTTACCATCTATGCAGATGTCACGATCTTATTGTTCCCTCCATCGATGATGAAACTGCATACCTTCACAATCACGGTGTAACAGGCGTAAAATATATTGTGACAAAGACACTCTGAATCAATCATATCCTTGTTCTATATGACCCATCGAATCATGAATGCCTCTCCTTCATCCTATGGAAGATGACAACTGACCCTATTCCTTAGTTGTCTCCTCGTCGTTAACCTCCTCCACGGTCGCCCTATTTGGTAAAAGACAAAACTTAGTTCGCCGGACAACTGGAGGCGATGTGTTGCATCAAAAGCATTTTAGGGCTAGAACTATAGTAGGTGTGCTACTCTTCTCGAGCTTCTCACTTCGGGTGGTTTCGTCCTTATTTGAACAAATTTTCTCAATTTTATGATGTGTGCTCCTGCTGGTGTCTCCAATTGGGAAAGGGGGTGCCCGGCAGATGGTGGTTGCATGATCTGTTTCTACTGTCTTTCCATCAGTAATGTTAAACTCTGGGCATCCAAATGACCATTAAGGCTGAAGCTGCACCACATTGATAATAGCAGGCTTCAGGCCCCCACATAATGGTCTATAGTTTGTTCCTCTGGCTTGATCAAATTACACTTCATCTACAATTAGTCAAACTGCACTGTGAACTCCTCCACTAATAAGTCTCTCTGTTACAGGTGGTGGAGTCTTAAAAACATATCCTGAGAGTAGTGAGGAATTAGGTAATTTCTCTACATCGTCTTACGCATATTCTCCCACTTAGTAGTCTTGTCATTGTCTTCTCTCTTCCTCTATCTCTGCAAGTTTTCTTGTCATAAGGAGATGCTCTTTCTCAATTTGATAGCTACAAACTTCACCCTTTTATCTTTTGGCACCTCTTTGTACTCAAAAATCCAATCAACTGATTGTAATCATTTGATAAAATCATATGGATCATTACTTCCATAGGACTCTGGTAGATCCAAATTTGTTTAGAAGTCCCCGTGCACTCCATATATGGGCTCCTCTCTTGATTTCCTCTGATTTGGATTCAAAAGCATTATGGCCTTTCATCTTCATCGTTGAAATCCTTCCTATAGAAAGGGTTCTCATCTCTTTCACCTCTTCAACTTTCTCTGTCATTGTCAAGGGTAAGTCTCCCCTGGGTTTCATCCTGAATCTCCGCAAGTCTCCACTAAAGTCGATGGATCTCTCGTTGCATCTCTTCTCAAGTAGGCTTCTGCATGTATCTTCTTGGTGACATGGCTAGTGTTTAGAGTTGGGAGTTGAAAGAGCGTGTAAAAATTAATTTAGGGTTGCGGACTTTGAAAATCGGTGAGAAATTAGGGTTAGGTTAAAGTTTGGTTATGATTTGGGAAAAGTAAAGAAAATTTTTGTTGAAGGGGTAAGGTGAATTCTAGGAAACACTAGGAAAGGACTAGAGTTAGGGTAGCTCTGATACCAAATGATACTGAAGTTAACCCAAACCATAATGGAAACAGAAATAATATCATAAAAATTTTGAAACGGGGGGAGGGAGGGGGGGCCTGCCTGGCAGATGGTGATTGCATGATCTATTTCTACTGTATTTCCATCGTGAATGCTAAGGTCTAGACATCCAAGTGACCATTAAGGTTGCAGCTGCACCACAATGCTAATAGCGGACTTCAGGCCCCCATAGCCAGCCAACCTGCTGCATTGGCACCCTACTGAACTGGCCGGTTCAGCTTGGAAGCCCTGCGAACGAAAGCTTTATGAAGTACTTCCCAATTTTGTTTATGATCTTTTTAGTACCTTGACATATAATCAAAATATTTTTGGTATATGAACTATAGGTTATTTTCTTTTTTGATGAATACCTCATTGTTCGACTTATGCAGTGGACTCGTGGCGACTAAGGTCTGTGATGGTGGTGGTGACAAGCTAGTAATCGGTGGCAGCAGTAAGGCAGCAATCATTTGCAATGGCATCAAATCTAATAAGTAAATAAACAGCACAAGTCTAGGTGCTAAAGCTCATATTGTACCATTTTTTATGCGAGAAGTGGTACATTTGTTGCAAATAAAACTTAACAACTTCAGCATAAAAATGTCAAAGTTTATTAATTCAATATCTTCAAAGTGCCATTTTTTTCTCTTTTTGTGATCATCTTCTTTATCAAATCGTCATGATAAGCTTTATCCCAATTATTTAGGTTCAGCTTTATGAATGCTACTCCATTCTATCCAGTTGAACTTTATATGTAGGTTCAGCTTTATGAATGATACTACATTCTATCCAGTTGACTGTTATATGTAGGTTCAGCTTAATGAATCCCCCATTCTTTCTTATTGACTGCTAAAAGAAATGATAATTCCTTTTGCGCAACTACTAGCTATGCTACTTTTGGTCTATTACTTTTTTTATTAATCCTCTTACATAAATTCCACCTACCCACTCTATCGATGCATCTTCTGCCATATGCTAATATTATACCCAAAACAAGTAAGGGTTCATCCACCATTTCAGCTTCAGTTGTCTTTAGAAAGACTTTCAAATTGTTAGCTGTAGATTTTGTAAGCAGGTATGGATCTGATGCCACTAACCCTCACCCGCCTTCTTTGTTAACTTAACACTTATAAAACGTTACTTCAACTTTCAAACCAATATGCATATTTTAAGAGATGGTCAAATATGTACTTTTTAGACATTCTTTAGGTTCAAAACGAAATGCTGCTGATACATATTCTTTCTAGAACAAGAGGTGCCCAAAACCACTATTGTTGCCGCGATACTAAGCCAACGGCTGCTCAACAAACTAAATTTTAAATCAAGAATGAAATTAAGTTTCGATTTTGCTCGTGTTAACAATGATCCTCAGCAGTGATATCCTAGACCTAACCAAAATGTGATGAGAAGGCAGGGTTTGCTAGGACATAACTCATAAAAAAAGGACAATTACAAACACAGCACCCGAAACATTGTTATTTACAAATATATCCAACCTATTTTTCATTTTTATCATACTCTCAATGATTTAATCGTGAAAAGCATAAATACATCGGTTCGGCAATTGAAAAATAGCACCCGAGTGCTAAATTTTGTAAATAGTAATGTTTTGGATGCTATGTCTGTTATTATCCCAAAAAAAATGACAAAACCCAATTGTTGTGAAAATTTTGAAAAAGTTGACAATCATGTTGCATGTAAGTGACGTGTCACAACATAATCTAATTAGGGAAAAAATGGGCAAGATTTTACTAAGTCTAAAACTATAACTAGATTTGCTATGGAGAATTTAAACTTTGAATGGACATAGCAACTAGCGGAAGAATTAATACTGTCCTTTTGCAAGAAACTAGAATGAAAAGGGGAAAATTTTTAGATACAATGGGGAAGATTATAAGTTTATGAATGTTAGAAAGGTTAAAAACACCTGAGGAACAAAATAATAATTATTGGGTCGACTTATGGATATACAAATTCTAGTAAGATGATTACGAGAAGTTCAATGGTGAATATAAAGTGAGATAAATATATAAAAGAGAGGCAATACTTGATTTTGTGTTATCATATGAATTGCAATAGGGAATTTATACCTAAAAAAAAGAGATGAGTACTTAATTACTTTTGAAAGTAAGGCTATCAAATAATAAAGGGGGTTATTTTTACATTGAAAAAAATGGTAGCAAAAATCATAGTACTTCTAGGAGAAATTTGACCATAAAGAATAGACTAGCAATAATAAATACAAATCTTAAGACTAATAAAACTATTATAAGAAGTATTTGCTCTAATGAAAATATAATAGAAGAGGAAACGTAAGAAGTTACTAATCTTTTAAGATAAATTTATAAGAATGAAAAAAATTGAATTCTTTAACAAACTTGATTTGGGATAAGATGCCCAAATACATATAGAAGATCATTATAGAAGTTTCTGAGAAGTCCAGAAATATATCATATTATCATATATTGGAAACGAGATAAGATGGAGTAAAGAAGAGCGAAGGGTTATTAAGAAAGAGAAATGTACTTGAAGAGTGATGAAATATAACTACTATTAATGCTTATAATAATAATGAAAAAACTACAAATTTTGCAAAGAAAATAATGAGCAAAACAAATGCTGCAACTTTTGATGGTGGGAGGAGAAAACAAGAGATATAACATAGCTAATGCAATAGAAGAAAAGGTCCAAATATTCGATCAAGATAGATGAAATAAAAAGGAAGATATGAAGATCATATAATTAATAATAAGGATACTAACATAGGATGAAAATAGTATTATTAGCAACTATTAAATAAAAGTTCTAAAAGATAAAGTATTTTATAAGAGACATAACGAATACAATAATAAGTTATTCTACATAGTAGTATAAAAAAATGACATCGCTTTAACTCAGATGAATATGCATAAATTTAAAAATTTAGGTCTAGATAAGTACTCATTCAAATTTGTAGAAAGAGGTAATATTGCAATTGTTTGGTTAAAAAATTGTTTCAATGAAAGTTTAAAAAGTGAAAAGATTAAAAATGATTGAAGAGATATTTTGACACCAGTATTTAAGAAAAAAGAATATGCACAAGATTATAGTAATTATAATGAAATGAAAATTATAAATTATAAAGAAAATTTGAAAAGAAATGAAACATAGAATTTAAAATTATATCAGCGTCAAAGAAGCAAGTTGATTTCATGATAAAAAAATAATTATGAAAGCAAAGTTTGTGTTAAAACAATTAATGAAAAAATATAGAAAGCAAACAAATTATCTTCATATGTTTTATCAATCTTGAAAAGGAATATGATCAAATATCATGAGAATTAATTTGGTGTGCATTAAAAAGCAGATAAGAGTAACAAAAACAGATCTGAGTGACAAAAGAACGCTAAAGTTATTGAAGATATCCGTGATGAAGCATTGATTAGTATAATAAGTAGATGTGGAGGGGCAAAATATGTTCAATTCCAATAGAACTACATCAAGCAATAGCATTAAGTCCAAATCTTTTAAAATGATTATGAAGAAGGATACTCAAATAAGGTTCACTGGCATATGCTTTTGCAAGTTTTATGATTTTAATCAGTCAAATAGTTTTTAAATAAAGTGAACAATTAAAAAAATAGGGAAATGTTTAGAAGGTAGGCTTTGATATTTATAAAACAAAGACTAAATATATAATATATAATTATAGCTAGTCAGATATTAACAATTATCAATCAATGTTATTAGAAGATAAATTGATACTTAGATTTAATTGTCTTAGAAATAGCATATCGATGAATAGAAATACAACGTCTATATTTAAGATTGAGTGGTTAAAATAGAAAAGTGCATCCACAATGCAATAAAATAACTTCATGGAGGCTTCAAATGTAAATTTTATCAAAAGATAATTAGCCAAGCTATGTTAAATAGATTTAGAGCGTTAGGCAGTAAATCAATCAAAGACAGTCAAGCTGGGCTAAAAAAATGAAAATATTAAAATAGATGTATAGAAAAACTGTGAAGAATAAACAAAAAAAGATTTCATTAAAGGAACAGTGGTAGTGGTACATGTTAAAGATATGTTAGCTGAAAATAGAATCGAGTGGGTTAGAACCTACAACAAAAATGGAAGTACACATGCTAAAAAAGTAGATAAGATTAGTGTTAAAATTAGGAAGGGGAAGGAAAAACTTAAGGTAACGTGCATATACGTTGTTCAAAAAATATTACAAATAATAAGTTTAGCATTTCATGTAGCACTTTATGGGAATGTATGCAAATGAGAAGCCATAAAGCTAGCCAAAATAGTTCAAATGGGGCTGATAGATTGTCATATGCAACACCAAAGGTTTTTAAACACAACAAGCACATGAAAGTGTAACAATATATATATATATATATAATATATATATATATATATAAGATTCGGTTAAGGCATCTCCAGTAGAACGCTGCACTTAATGGTTACTGTTAATAGTGGAGCCGGCTAGCAGCTTCAATGGTAGGTACCAACATGTGGCCCGATGTGGGATGGCATACTTCCAACAAATAATGACTGTCATATCAAAAGTGGTATGCGTTTTCGAAAGGACCAACAATCAAGGTTGCCAAATAGACCCGGGCATTGGACAGGCCAGGCTTGGTGTGTGTCGGGCTTATTCGGGCTTTGATCAGTCAAAGTGAGCTTGGGTCGGCCATGAGCCCGGTTTCCATTTACAATTTCATAGCCAATCCCACACATCGAATGGGTCGGGCTGGCTGGCTGGCAGCCTGCAGGCCTTAAGAGCAAAATAAACTTTTTATATACTACATATTATCATTTCGATACTTTGGCGGCAATTTGAAAAAAAAAAAAAACAGGCAAGTGCTAATTTTGTATATAACATTGTTTTTTAGTGCAAAAGTGCCAATAGCTAGTTATTAGGATTTGTAGAAATGTGCTTTATAACTTAAAAATGTTTTGTTATATTGCCAATAGGTTCAGCCCAGTGCAACCATTTTATAGATATATTATTCTTCTATACAGTTCCCTTAGTTTTACCAATAACAGTCATTAAATTTATAGGATCCTTGTAGGCTTCAAGTTAGAGATGCAATGGAACTATGCACAATTGCAGGTGTCAAGGTAATAGGTCAAATACTATGGTATCTTAATCTATACTGAAATTTTCAAAATTGGCTCGACTAATAGCGTTTTGATATTCTTTATAACAGCAGAGGAAAGGTTCTTCTGATATATTGTTTGCCGACTGCATAGATTTGGTATTGTTTTACATAAAAAGAATGTGTTAGGGATAAAATTGGATATTGCTTAACAAATGACCCAACAATAGAAAGGAAAAGAAAATTAAATATGATGAAACGTAGTAATAAAGCTAGTCTTACTGGATTTATTAAATATATTTTTTTAAAATTCATCAAAAGTATCAAAAAGTAATAAAAAAATAATTAATCTCCTGGAAAGCTTGAAATCGTGAACAATACCTATGAGACCTAGCTATTGGGCGGGTCAGACTTGGCACGGGCTAGGCCTACTCGAGCTTTGACTAAGTCAAAACGGGCTCGAACCGGACCGAGCCTGCTAACTTTCTTTTTTTCATAACCATGCCCGTTTTTTATGTGGGCTTATGGCGAGCCCGTCGAGCCACCAGTCCAATGTCACGGTCTGATGCCGAAGTATTTATATGCATGCTTGATTTGCTTGTCTTACATCGAAATTGATGGTTAAGTGAATGTAATTGTACGTGGAGACTGGAATTCTTCGTGAAACCAACTTGATTAAATTGTAGGAAACTATATGTTGGCATGCACTCACAAAACAGATAAGTAAAACTGATGAAGAATGGAAGAAATCTACCTTTGCAACATTCAAATCTAAAGAGCTACCAGTGGACAATGGAATGGTCAACTTTCCATCATGTGACTTCAAGCTGCCTGCATATGAACCTCCAAACCACTTTGCCTGCAAAAAAAAGGTAAAAAAAGGAAAAAATGAGCACATTTTTTAAAAGGCGATTGAATATTCATCAAACAAACAGTCCTACATTGAAAAAAATGAAAATTAAAACAAGAAAGAAAGTTATAAACCTAATAAAGACGAAATTTAACTCACAAGTTTGACTAGCTCTTCATCAACACAAGAAAAATCATCTTCAGCGCATGCATTTTCATCGACATGAAAAACATAAACATCATCCTCTCCTGCATGGGATTAGGCAGCTTGCTGATTTTAGATTTGCAAATTAACAGCTGATGTTCCAAAAAACTTAAAAACAACAAAAAATTCCAAACCTGGAACATAAATTTTAGCTTTTTTGGATTCAAAAACCATACTGCTAAAGATGTTGCCCACCTTGAAATCAGAGTTCTGGGTAGAAAAAATAAGACCTGCAGGCAAATAAAATAACTTCAAATGCAATCAATCAATGAAAAAAGCTCTTTTTTTGAATTGTAGGTACTTACCATCGATTCCTCCAACTTCTAGTAGAAAAACAGTATCCGGCCTCTCAAATGGATTTGGGAGAAGTATTTCATTTAACTATAATAAATAACACCAGCACAATGGAGTTTGGAAGATACAGGAGAGTTAACTTAATCATTGCATCTAACCAGATAATGATCATAAAACAAACCTTAGAAGATGATTCAGCCGAAAGTGAAGGTGGTGGCAAACCAAGTAAGACATATATAGATGCAGTAATGTCATCCAATAACATAGAATTTGTCTGTAATGTAAGAATGATTAAACTGACAAAGTTAATACACATAGAAAAATATCAAATGTAAAAAGTATATGACATGCTTGAACATTATAAGACAACCATGACCTATGGATGCCAATAATCTGGCATGTTTAAGCCAAAAGCAGAGTAAAAGTATAGGAATCCAAAATAATTTTTTTCTTTTTTTATCCTGTATGAGTCTCGTATTATTCTATTTATATGCACTTAAAAGCCTGAATGAGTGACTCTCTGATAAAGCTTTAAAAAAATAATGAAGCCCAATTACAATTGTGTGATTGGCGGAGTCATTGCAGCCTTGGGTAAACAGTAGCCTCCAAAAGAAGAAGGATGCAGAAGATTAAAAAACCAGAATCAACACTCAGGAAAGAAAGCAGCCTCAAAAATAAAGGCAAGAAAAAAGTTGAAGCAGATTAAATGACAAGAATTTATATTTAGGAAAGAAAAATTCTTTGTATTTTTAAGAACCCTACCAAACCAGACATTACTCTAAGGAGAATGATGGAATTTAAAGAAAGAACAAACATGATGTAAAGTAATGCATTCTAATTCATAATATGCATCTGCCACACAAAATTAGCATTATGATACAATGAAAGTTTAAGAAAATTGTCATTTGAATCCTGGAGCACTCGACTAACTTCTCTAAGCTATATCTGTCAAAGTGCTATAAAGAGAAAGAGATATTAAAAGGAAAAAAAATATATATCAAAAACAACTATGCACAGCCCAAATATATGGTTCTATTTCCATTTAAACCACATAACATATTTGGTGGGTTCAAGTGAATCAAATCAAATGGTGGACCTAAAACAAGTCTTAAAATTAAATGAATATTGAACAGTTTCGAACCAAGCTTCACAATTTTCCAATCAGGGTCATCCAAAGACACCAAGCACTAAGTTGCCCAGAGGGAACTCATCTCAGCCGTACAAATCCCTTAGTTTTCAAGTGCCAAACTCGACCAATGAGCACCTAGAAGTTGTATCCATCAAGAACTCGACCAATAAACATACAGAACTCGCCCATAGTACACCTCAAAGGATTCATCCTTAACCTCCATTAAAAAGTACAAGTCCAAGGTACTCGCAATAGGGACAATAATAACTTGGTCGCCACACAGCCGACTATAGCGCAAGCCCAACTACCCTGATGGTGATCCAGGTCTTATGTAGCCCATCTTGTGGCATCAACATAAATCACAAGCACCATAGTGCCCTTCACTTTCTTTCCCATTGAGCAAGCATCTCTAAATTCAATTACTTTTTTTCTATAATCTTCTTTTCCGTCTCTCATATCTTAGGTTCTAGTTGCCTCGAGTAGGATTCAACTTACTTTCAACCAAATAATTTTGAATATATTAAAATTAAATCAACGGAGTAAAGCTTAAGAAACAATAATACGAACTTCAAAGAGAAGAAAACAGAACAGTCGCCACAAAAGCTGCAAGTGTTAATACACAACAATACTACCATAAGCCCAGAACTGAGTTAGTTTTGGAAATTCCTCTTTTATAACTTCAGACCGAAGATCAGGTTGAGCCCAAATCTACCGTACAAATTCAGTACAATTGAAGAGTAAACCAACTCTAACTTTAATTCAAAAAACAAAACAGCATACTGGAGATAACAAAGATGCAAATACCTCGCCTGTGATTCCCGGTGACCGGTGACGGACGTATGAGTGGGAAGGTGAATCAAAAATGGTGACCGAGCGACTACTGCTCTCCGCCTGAAGTGAGAATCAGAAAACAAGCATTTAATAATAATAATAATTCTGCTTAGTTTGCCGGGTCGGGATCGAAATGGTACAAACCCTATCTCCCAAAGCACTGAGCCCTGCAAAAATCAGCAGAGCTATCTTAACCAAGACGCGGAGATCCATGTCGGAAGAGATTGGGGGAAGCAACAACCACAGGCTAAACACGAATCCAAGCAACCGACGTTAAAATACTATCTCAGAAGTTCGGCTGAGCGGAACTTTGGAGGTTGTAAGCTCGTGCTGATCGTGAGTAATGGCATCCACAAAATCACTGGGGCGATTTACATAAATACCACATAAGTTTTCTTTATTTACATAATTTAAAATTCAGTATTTATATATATATATATATATATATATATATATATTCATTCAATAAATAGATGAAAAGATTGTATTTCAAATCATTAATATCACATCAAAAATATAATTAATATTAAAAAATCTAAAATAAAATCTACTGTTTTGTGTATAGATTTTGATTGTTATTATGACACTACATATAATCAAAATCTATACACAAAACAGTAAATTTTATTTTAGATTTTTTAATACTAATTATATTTTTTATGTGATATTAATGATTTGA